TTGCCTGATCTACGAAATGCTCTTTATATAGGAGCTTAAGCCAATTTTGAACAAACAGTCTGATTCGATCCGTGCAAAGTTATTTTTAAAGTTTAATATTTTATTATTCTTACTTACATTTTAGCGCTGGTATTTACGTATCTTATAGTTGGAAATTGTTACGTCCTGATTTGTACTTAGATATGTATATTTCATTTGCTTTTTCTACAACTTGAAAATCATCTCAGAGAGATGGAAACATTTTTATCGCTAGCTTTTATTCTGTAACTGCAGAGATAAGAAAGATCACAAGCAGGCAAAACAAAGGAATGGGAATCTCTCGCTAGATATACATAGTGACATATGATCGACTAAATTACATAGTCTTTCCTTATTTTATTTTCTTTATCTCCTATAAGCAGTCTTTCAGCACGAGTCTCTTGCTTTCTGTACCGTTTTTTTTTTTTTTTGTTTTGGGTGACAATTTCCTTTATTCTCAACAACTGTACAGTTAGAAGCTGTATCATGATAATTAAACGATAGCCTCCATTTGGCGCGAAGCTATGCACGGATATTGATTGACGTTACCTGTTTCGAGATGCAAACTATTTTCCAAACGCAAAGCTCGAAGAAAACTGTGAACTTTGAAGAACAGTTCATGTCCTTTTCTACGAGCAAAGTTCGTGCTAAATGGAGCTAGTGTGTTTATCATCCTCCTGATATTTTTCAACGCATGTTTCTTCTGTAACAACAAAACGCTTTCCCTTGAATCAAACTTTAAACGCAGAGTTTTCTGTATTGGACGTAGGGTTTGAAAATTGGGGGAATATCACCAGGGGTATATCCTCAGATTTCCCTGAGTTTTAGTTAAAGGATTTTCGGTCACATGATGCGTTTTGACCAATTGAACGCGTACAAAAATTTTTGTTAGATTATAAGAGAGGATATACGGCTCTCACCACTATAAGTAGGAATGAAGATTTGAGACATCCAGAAACTGCGACCTGCAGAGTGAGATATTATCGACGAAGAAATAAATCGAGGAAATAAGAGAGCATTAACCGACTTTAGGGTGGTCCAAGGATAAAAAAATTGCATCTTTAGGAAAGGGTTTGAAGTTTCACCATTCCAGTAAATTCTAAGAATTCCACAACAACATCCCCAATGAACACAAACATGGCAATGAATCCAAAGGCCTGTAAAAGAAAACAAAAGTGTGAAATCGGAGTAAAATTTCAATGGAAAAGTGAATGATAGTCATTCCTCTCTATCTTAAAGACACCGATCTTCTTTGGACACCTTATGAGTCCTTAAAACCCCTAAAGCCTGTTTACGAGCCAAATGAGCCGCTTAACTCCGGCTTCTGTGGCATGAAGCGACTAGGAGTATTTCTACAACCCCTTGGATGGGATACTAGTCCATCGCAGGGTTGCTCCCCCGGCCTCCAGTTTTAAATTTGCCATTTTAACACCTGGGTGAAGAGAAGCACTATGAGAGTAACGTGTCCTGCCTAAGAACACAACACTATGTCTCCGGCCAGGGCTCGAACCCGAACCACTCTCGATCCAGAGTTGAGCGCACCAACCATGTGGCCACCGGGCCCCAGTAGGTCTACTATAGCTATCCCTCAAGCTGTAGTAGGCCTTCATTATAAGCGCCGCAGGAAGCGCGTTTATCCGCTTGCAAGAAAATATGAGACGAGCCTAGGAGACGTTTGCCAGGGGTCTGGCACTAGTTATCAGTACTAGACCCCTTTGCAGACCTCTTGTTGGCTAGCGTTGTTTAAGCCTCATCCTTTTCGGCGGGCGGAAAAAGCACTTATGCCGAGACGCTGCTCGGAGTTTATCTAAATGTTTATTTGACCGTACAGGCGGTTCAACCTTACGAAAGACATACCACGGCCGCTCGTAATGATACCAGGGTGGAAGCTCCCATAAAGGAAGTAGAATACCCCCTAAATTTCTTGACATCATCACCCAAAAACGCCGAACTGATCAGCAAAAAAAAAGCCACTGCAGCAGCAAAGATCAGGAGCTAGAAAGGAGAACAGAAGACTAATAAATGATGAAATTGATTTTAACCTTTACAATATCTCACGTAGATCAACTGATTTATTTTTCGCTAATTAACGGTATACTGTGGATATATTAACAGACTGAAATTGTCCAGTTAACTGTAATCGGCTATTGACGTCAGCCAGTTATACTAAGCACACATGAATGCTACATTAAAGAACTGGTGTTTAAACTATCGAAACCATTTTGAGCCTCCTTAACATGGAAAAAATTTTTTCCTATTTTTCTATTTACACTTGTATGGGATAATCGTTAAAGTTTTCAGGGAAATCTCACCAGGGAAATTATATCTTCTATCAACTAAAGCTTACTTAAAATTACCGTAATATTCCAGTGTTTTTCTTTGAGGTTGATCCTTTTGTGCAAATTAAAGGTGAATAACACAAACCAGGCGATTACAAAAAGCCACGAAAGAATGGTAACAATAAGGAAAAATTCCATGCCTCCCTTCTTTTCCATGTCTTTTCTTATGCCAACGGCGATAGCAAACGCTAACAATAAAAGGATCTGTGGAGAAGATGACATAAACAGTTACGTTGGTCTTGATTCAAGTTATAAGAAACGCCTTTCAATTACAGTTGGGACCTCAAAACTACAACCGAGACGGCGATTATCAAGAAAAGGTTTTTATGTATCTGCTTTAGTTGCTGGACTCCACTGACCGGGAGCCTCGCAAAGGCTACAGGAATACAGACTTTTTGCACTATAGTACGATGAATTATTGTGCGCAAAGCACATCGTTTGCCTCAGACTAGATAAATTTCCCATCGAATGCGAAGAGGGATTCGTGACTGCCATGATTTTTCCTTTTCTTCGGTCCTTTTCTGAACAATCTGTGGTTGTTTAGAAGACTCTAGCCATTTTTTCAACAAACTAAAGGCAAATTAATTGGAAGATCATGAGCTGCTTGCGTTTTCCCACTCTTTAGGAGGATGAAATTTCCTTACTTGGCGCTGAGTTCCCTTTGTTTCGTTTGATAATTTTCCTATTTTTAAATTGGTTTTTGTAATTATTTTGTTTTGGCTTTACGACAGTCAATGGAAATGCACGAAGGTGGAACTGTAACGCAGGGAGCGAAGCACTTGCACCAAATTACAAAAAATAATCCAAAAGTATCAGAGCATCGTAGCCACAAATAGTACGTACAAATTCCACGATCTTCAATATTCCACGAATTGACTTGATGTAAGCTTTGTTCACTCTTATGGCACCTCTGTCTGCATTATCCGCTCTAAAACCGTCTTCAGCGGCCGCTGGGTTTCGCATCTTTGAAATTGACTTTTAATAAACTGTAAGATAAACATCATAGAAAGATATCGAAATAAGTCGTGGACTACAATTTGCAAAAGAAATAATGTCCTTGCTTGTTTAGCACATAATTACCACTGATACGCACACATGATATGGTATACGACTAAAATCCACGTCAAACTTTTACCCCAACACTCATGTAACGAGCCTGAGGTTGCTCTGCCTGTTCTCGACGTTTAATTGGTGAACGTTGCCTTCATATCAATACCCTTGCTTCGAGCAATTCTTGTACAAGCCGACGTCAAATTTCGAATCTCTAGAAAAGGACCTTCACTCGACCCCCCTATTGTCAGCTGTAAGATAAGACGATTTTCTAATGTCACCTGTTTCTAAAAGCAGAAAAGCTGTCTTAAGTACGTCGCTATTGCTGAACTCATTACGAAGGTTTTTCGTTCAGGCGTTTTTTCACGGATACGTTGGGCCAATTAAACTGTTGGTACCACGAGCAGCACGTTTTTACCCGTCAGATCTTTATTTTAACTCCGCTTGAGAGACTCAGAGAGCAAAAGTTAAAGCGAACGTGATGAATTTAAATCATCCTTAGTTCAAGTAAACTGTCATAATTCTGTAACTGTACTAGTGCGTTTGGCCACCACGACAAATTAGCATGATGATTCATTTGCACTCTCCATTTTCGGTTAAGATGGTTGGTAAAACAAAACAAAGCAAAACAAAAACAAAGAGAAAGACGAAAATGGTTAATCCAGAAAACTAATGGCGTAACCCAAGTTTACTTTCAATG